TATTTGCTATATATTTCCTATCCCCCAATTCCATCCATTTCTGAAAATTACAGCAAAAGCAAATGATGTATATTCCCTTTAAACTATTTGGGGGATGCTTTCAGCTTTCGTATAATGTGTCCTCGAAGGTGTTAAGTAAGGTTAATCTCTATCATAACGCCAGTTCTGCATTCCCTCCATTGGCTGCCAGTACAGTTTCAAATAGTTTTCAAATTACTTTTACTTGTTTTTCATTGCTTACATGGTTCTGCCCCTGGATATAATTCTGATTTGCTCATTTCTTACAACCCTGCTAGGTACCTCAGGTCTGCAAATTCGTCCCTGCTTTTTGTGCCTAAAACTATTAAATCTTGGGGGGACCGTTCATTTTCTCATGCTGGACCTCTGTTATGGAACAAACTTCCTCAAAATATTCGTGATAGTGCTACTTCCCATGAGTTTAAATGTGCTCTGAAGACCCACCTATTCCAAGCAGCATTTCATTAATCATCCAGTTTGATTTCACTCTCATGTGTACTGTTTCATATTCATGTATTTTCATTTGTGCATACTTTTGTTCCCTGCTGTTTTTGCTGTTCATGTTTATTTGTTTGTTTCTCTGCGCAGCCTTAAGCATCTAATCTAGGTGGATTTGGCGCATTATAAATGCTCTGTATTATATAATCGTTTCAGTTCCCTTAGAACTAAATATTTTCTAAGGGGTAGTTATTACCACATTGTGTTACCGCAAACCGAAACGATACCGATTCTCCACCATGCAAAGCCTCAAATCTTATATAAGGTAAATCTATGCGGACTGGATTTGTGAAAGAAACTGACAATATGCTGTTTCACGAAATGTCAACAGGATCACTTTTCCGAAACATCGGCTCAGATTCTTTTACCAAACTCACCCTCAAAGTTTTGTATTTTAAAGAAGCATTATTCAAAAGTTGTACATGCAACTATTATTTAAAACACTTGCCAAAAAAAAAGGATGAATCCTTTTTAAATTACCGGTAATTGTGTGTTAGAGAGTGGTTGCAAACGTATTTATTATTTATTTATTTAGTGGGTCAAGTGGATTTGTTCACACTGCCATTTCATACCATTTTTGCATCATTACTAAAAAAAAAAATGTTGTATACACTGACATACAAACAAAAGTTTGGAGTTCCATTTTATGTATTTGTAAACTAAATACCTTTTCTTTTTAAGATATGAAAAATAAAGAGTGACTTGATTTAAGTATTCTTAAAAAAAAAAACAGTTGAGGACATATATGTTTGACAACTTCTTTTTACACCCAAAATATGAGATCATCCTTTAAAAAAAACTTAACAAATTAAAAATGTATGCACTGCAAGGCAACATGCAAGAAAAAGTGGGTTGGATTTTATGTTTTGTTTCTTTGTTCACATTTTCAGTTTGCACCAAAAAAACTCGCAGAAGATAATAGAGTGAGGCCAAATAAGCATAGGGATTATTGAGAAATGCACCAGGACTTTCCTGGGTTCTTTTGGGGTGCTGTACATAGCAGTTGTTGTATCTTTATTCCTTGAACAACTTGGGAGTGACACAACCTTTGAAGCATCCATAGAACTGCTTTACATATGCAAACACCATGCAGCCCTGAATTTCCTCTGTAACTAAAGACGTAAGAGGACTATTCATGCATAGTTTACATGGTGTCATCTGAAGATGTCTCCATATGTATCCTCAAAATCAATGGGGCAGAGAGTTTGTGTGGGCGTTGGAATTAGCTTGGCCTTTGTCATCGTTGAATCAACTAGAAAGAGTCTGCTTGGTTTTGGTAACTATAGTGCGAGGTGCGTATATGGTAACACCATTGTCATCCTTTTTTTGGGGGGGGGGGTAGTTGGGGGAGTGGCTTTTACATGTACATACATATACAACCAAGCCTAAAAGATATCATTTTCTTTTTATCAGAAAGTTTGTTTGTGTTTCTTGTTTGTTTTTCAAAAGCTTGGCTTCTGTTGCCTGAGGCAACCCCCTTCAGGCATGCAACTTTTCCTCGGATCAGCTGATTTCCTCTTTTTTTTTACTTCCCATGTGTGCCATTGAAAATAGAAAAACACTGTACAAAGTCTGGGGAAAATTTGAATTTCCTCTTTTTTGTGTGATTTCCTAGTTGCATGCCTGCCCCTTTGGTTAACGTTAAGATTTTGTTGGATGAAGAGATCCATTTGTAGGTTCAAACATGTTTATCTGTTGGGAGTAGATTTCTAAGAAACACCAGAGGAGGAGTAGACGGAAGTCCTTAAATTCATATTTTTTAATACAATTTGTACTTTCAGGAAATACCCACAAATTATGCAATTATAATCATGCAAACTATAATCAGCATGTTAGAAACTTGATTCTCCATTTTCACTTGAAGCGGACTGCTGAAAATTGTGGAGGATCACGGTGATGTAACGGAATGCATCCCAACACTAAATTGACTAATAAAACAACTGATGATGGCACTGAATGTGTTCATTAGAGAATTGTTGACCAAGTCTTAAAATGCATAGACCAGTTGAAATTCACTTTGCTATTATCAAAAGTCGGCATGTAAAGTTATTGACAGAAGACGCTTTCTTGACTGTCATTGCTATAGATATATGTGGTCACAGGCACAAGTACCCCCCTCAATGCAGTGGCACACCCAGGAATTGGCTTGGGGGGCAATTTTTATTTTCAAAATTTGTAGAAGTTTAAATTTTTTCGAAACAATGTTGCCCAAAATTTGGCCGCAGAAAAAAAAATTGGGGGGGGGGTTGGACTATTTTGACGTTGGTGGCGCCACTTACACCCCTACTCGAAAATAGGCCACATTCATATCACCAAGGTCAAATCGTGGGACTTTAAAAAAATTACCAAAAAAAAAAAAAAAAAAACCTCTTTGGGGGGCCTTTCTCAAGCCACAAAGATAAAACTCAGAAACAAAACAAAAATTGCCTGCGCAACTAGAATAGTCATGATTTGTTTGTGTTGCTCCCCTGGAAACAAGTTCCTTTTTTCCCCATTGTATCTGTTTGTTACCCTTGTTTGTATGTGTAGGCCTTGTAATTTCTATTGTCAACTCTCTTCAAAAGATTTTAGCCGAAAAAACCCTGAACTTTGGCAAATAATACACCATTGTACCATCCCTTCCCCCTCCTCCATAAAAAAATTCAATACCTTTAAAAAAAATGGTTATAAAGGGAGAGTTGGGGGAGACCACTGGGAGGGACTTATGAACGTATTGCCGATGGCGCCTAATGCTCCTGTAAAAGCGCAACAGGTTTGTGCACATTAAGAAACAATTATGGGTACTTAAATTTACACCATATGCGCATGAACCAGTGGGCATACAGAGTCTGTCTCTCGCAGTGGAGTGCTCATGAATGGTCGTGACCAACGCCATCTTCCTCTAGACTTCAAGCAAGTTGGCTTTAAAGAGGTTGTGGAATGCTCGAAGACATTTCCGTCATTTTTCGGGTATATGTAGCCTAAGGTGTGATGAAATAAAAACGACTATTGTGTCTGTCATGAAATGAGTACAAAAGGTACTTTTGAGAGCTGTTTTTCAGGTCCTGTTTCGACCCGAATGTGCAATTTGTGTAAAAGTCGTCGTTGGGGGCAGCAAACAAAACATAGTAAATCGATGCAGCGTAGTATAAACGAGTCCTGTTTATTACGTCACTATTTTTCTCATTTTACGAAGAACCCGACAACTGTTGATTTCAATTATGCGCTCGCCGACCAACAAATTACTCGATGAATTTCAGTTTTATAAACATATAAATGCACATTACAAAAGAATGGGACTTTGTCATTATATGGGTCTACTCTACAATAAAAAAAAATATAAAAAAACAAAACGACTTTCAGCATTCCACAACCTCTTTAACTACACTGTATGTGTACACATCTACAAATGTGCCTATTTTGCAACGAGCTTCACTGTTCCCAACACTAAAAAAAGTTACCCCAAGGAGTGTGCACGTTTGTTAAGCAGATCTTTTCAATAGGATTCACTTTTAGTCATTTTGATGTTCACAATGGCTACATAGACCACTGTAATGTACTTAGATGAACGCGTGATCGTGATTGTACAGCTTACATAAATAAGCCAGTTGCGAGTGACCTATACCCTTTTGGAGGTTATATTTGAAAAACATCTGGTACACTGACTTGCTCAAACTGCTTGGCACATTTTAACTTTGAATTATCCAGACCAAGGACATTGTTGCATACATCACAATGATTCGGGGCAAGCTCTTGCAAAGTTATGTAAGAGACGCTCAGCACCAATACATTGTTCACAATGGGCGAGAATGACACAAAAACACCAGACCATGCCGGAGCTGGGGGTTGCTAGCATAAGGCTTGCCCCAGAATCACGTGATATAGTAACAGTCTCTTTGGTCGGGAGAATTCAATGTTAAAATGTGCATAGCATTTGAGCAAGTCAGCGTACCAGTTTTTTTTTAAATTCAACTCGCAAATGGCTCATTCTTACAATGGGGGTGGGGAAAAGAAAGATGCACAATTTAGAGGATTGGGAATTTGAAGAGAAGGAAGGGGTAGATTATAGATGGAAAATTAAGCCAAAGGAAAGCATTGCCAAACACCTTTATCTCAGGATTTAGCTAACTAGATTATCAATTTTTGCAGTGTTGGAGTTTTAGAAGTTCATGACCCATTATTTTCTCAATCCACAAAGATTCCTCTCAGAAACCAAAAATTGCCTGCCCAACTAGAATATTCATGATTTGTTTGTGTTGCTCCCCTGGAAACAAGTTCCTTTTTCCCACATTGTATCTATTTGTTACCCTTGTTTGTATCTTTGGCATAGTAACTTCCGTTGTCAACTCTCTTCAAATGATTTTAGCCGAAAAAAACCTCTGAACTTTGGAAAATCATTTACCATTGTATCATCCCTCCCCCTCCAAAAAAAAATTCAATACCTCAATACTGGGAAAGGTTTCTGTGCCAAAACTGGTTTTACAAATGATATACACATTGAACAGTTTCATTTAAAAATACAATTCCTCGTCTGTTTTAATAAGAACCTATAGTAATTTGCCTTAAAACAAGAAGTTGTTATTATCAGTAAACAAGTTAAGAAGTTACTCTAAATCAAGATACAAAAGTAGTTTTTTACAATACGTTTAACCCAAAACGCAACATTTGAAGCGGCATATCTGGGAAATTTTGTTTGAAAAACTTTCAGCAGCAGGAAAAAAGGAAACAGTAAACATCAAAAACTTTAAAAATGCAATTTCAACAAATGCCATATTCAGTTTTTACAAAAACTTTGAGTTTGCCTTGAAAATTGTATCCGGGATTTCATGGTTAAACGTATAAAGCATAGAGTGTTCTGGAAATAGGATGGCCGCTTCATAATATGGACCACGTGCATTCAGGCATGGCATAACCTTCAAAATCGGCCTCGGTGTTTTTTGAGCCCTTTGTTTGATTTTACAAAAAGCTTGGTCAGGTGTGTGACATGGCACTTTCCCAACGTTCCGCATTTCCCCAAAGCTTTCCCCAATGCATGGGCCTCTACATCAAGCCTGTGACGCATGAAGAAATGACTCGGGGTTAATGCCTGGCGGATACTGGCGCTTTACCAAGTGTTCATCATTATTATTATTATTATTATTATTAATGCACTACCAATATTCGACCAGAAGGGCGCTCATAAATTTGTGAGAAATGTTGACCGGTCGTCGCTCGTGAAGTTGCTTTTATCAAATTGTTATTCCCGTGTTTGCGTCATAACTGAGAAATTTTTATTTGCAAAAAGAATTTGAGATATATCAATGCCAATAGACCTGTAATACAAAAGTGCACAAGTTTTGCCTCTGAAGAAGGCCTTGCAAAGGCTGAAGTATCGGGCCATTGTAATTTTTTTATTTGTAGATTTCAGGTCAATCCAGGCAGTCAGCAATTTGCAGCAGTTTAATTCATTTTCACAAGTTTGTAATATTTCAAGGCATTCAAATTTTAGAGGATTTGGTGGCTCAAAACTGTGTACATGTTGCATAAAAAAAAGATTGAAATGGTGAAAAAGCATGAGTACATTATAGTAGTTATTTTAGTTTATACAAAGTACTGGAACCCATTCTTCAGACTTTTAAGGTAGCATTTTATCCAAAGCAGCACATATCTATTCTGCCTAGTTTAATAGTTTGGTCATTTAATATTTAAATTTAATTTTTTAAAAATGCAAAAGTCATAAGGACCTGTATTTCTTGATAAATGCTTATCCCCACCACCGCGCAACTGTATAGATTATTTCTTTTATCAATATCAAATGTCATACTAAAATCTGCTTAAATATCATACAAAATATTAACATACACTGGTTACTCAAAACACTATACAGTTCAAGAAGTAATGCAAAATTATCCTTTCTTCTAAAAACTGCAAGTTACATCAAAAGTACTGATAAAAGACTTCTTTTGGAGACAAGAGATATTTTAAAACGCATTTGCACCCCCCTTTCAACTTTTATTGTTTAACTAAGTTTACCAATTTCTATCAAGCATATACAAAGCCTTCATGTCATTTTGACTACAATTCATATTCTTTCTCCCTACACGGTTAAAATGTGCAGCGTAACTCACTGAAATAAAATCTCTTACAATTCTATAATTTCTCCAGAACCTCTTCCTTCATTGAACTTACATTTTCTTTTTATTCCGTACACATAACAATTCTCTACAGTTGAAAAGTATCAGCACTCTTAAAAGCATCTTTCAAAGAAACCAATATTGCAAACGTGAAGTTTTCCTCCCATTATACAAAATATACATTTATAAAAAAAAATTGATACTCATACTTCAAAGGAAATGCAACAGTGCCCATTTCGTAAACCAAAATTAATGTGAACTCATGAACATTAAAGAAAGCTAGGGGTCCAAGAAATGTCAAGAACCTACATTTGCAGAGCAAAGTGACATTCTGTGTAGAAATTATACGTCACACCAAAAAAAAAAACAGACAAAAAATGGTTTCCAAGTTGGAATATAAAAACTATGGGAGAGATACATGTAAACTTGTTTTCTCACTACGCATCCTCAACTTTAAGGGTCGGGTTCTCCACGCCGGTCAAGCTGGAATCGAAGCCCTTCATCTCAATGCCGCTGGTGGTTAGGTGCTGACTTCCGCCTTGATTTCCGTGAGGAGTATATTTTCGCCGGGGCCGGACGCTGGCTTTTCGGAGGGCTGAGACTTTTCGCCAGGTGGACTGGGGGTACCAAGAAGTAAAATCGAACCATTAATGAAATGAAGATGAACACGTGGCAAATGAAACATGTTTACATACAGCGTTGCCTGAGATGGGAAATACAACAGAAGTTATTAGGGGCCTGTATGTCATAAAGCCGCTAAATTGCAGAAATCTGCTAAGCATGTACAATATTTGCTAAGCGAGGACAGGTTACCAGCTCAAATGCCATGCGATTTATACTACTTGTGACTGGTTCCAAGTGGAATTTGTTAATCTTTTTTTTTTTTTTTTTTTTACGGAAAATACCTTGTTGGGTTTTTTTTTTTAATAATGATAATAATGCAGATTACATTGAACAAAATATCCACCGAAAAGATACTGAAGGTGCTAATACAAGAACAACAAATTAATCAAAGCGAGAAGGTAAAATAAGCAACAAACAAATGAAATACTACATGTAAATGCACAACAACAAAAACAAAACCAAACACATCTAGATGCTAGTGATCTAAACTCTAGGCATCTCGGGAGCAAGAACAACAACAGAAAAATGAACACAGGGTAGGGAGATTTTGTTATCTTGAAATACCCAAAAAATCCATGTACAAATATCACACTTTTGTCTGCTGTGTTGTGCAGAGTTGTACATTTAGAATTAGTAACGATTAACATAAATTGTGCAGATTGAGTCAATTGAATCTTCTTGACGTGTAAAAAGTATTGTTGCATTTTTGCGGAGGTGCTAATCTGGTGTATTAAAGAGCACATGTGATATCTTTTTTTCTGTCTTTTCTCCTACTTATGCTACAACAGTTTTATGCAGCAATGCAACACTACAGAGGTTGAACCAAAACAAGCTGAAACTGTTTCTTTTGTCGAGTATGAACATATGATTGTGAAGAACCAACTCTCTGAGATATTGAACAGATACTTTTAAAATTTGTTCAAACTAGGCTAAAAGTTTTGTAAGTTTAGTTCAATCTCATTAACGTTTACTAAGACGTGGCATACTAATGAAACAAGCATGACATTTGCAAAAGGAACTTTACAAAAAATTGTATATGTGTGGTTGAGATGAGTGATTAAGTGCTCATTATTAAAAAAAAATGTTGAACTCCGTAATGTACAAATTAATGATAGTGTGATAAGGTAATATATATGGAGTGGTTGGCAATGTGTTCATGACATCAGCTCCCTTCAATGTTGCTGTGACCGTACTGCTGCAGAGCCAGTGAGTGGAGCATAGAGACTACCTGCAATGAATATTCACGAGTTAAATTTGCATATTACAAACTTTTGCGGACAGCACTGATTACGCTTCTTCTAGTTCAATTAAAACTTTGACGTTGGAATGCTCCTTTCTGGTACTGTCCTTCAGCCAGTTGTTTTTCTGCACGAGCTTTCTAACCCTATGTGTTAGGAAAAGATTGTCAAGCAAGTAAATGTACGCCCATCAAAGAACTGTATGAAGTCCTATACGCTTGAAACACTTGCATGTTGCTGTGGAGTTCACGCAATGTGACATGTACTCAAGTATTTGGTTCATTTTATTTTCAATTTAACAATATTTGTGCACTATATTGTTGTGATTAGAGGGATTTAGTGTAGTTGTTTTAGTCTTAAGTTTTGCATTGAGCTAATCTTCACGATGTTTTACTGAAAGTTCCTTCAAAGCAAGATTCTCTTCAATGCCCCTTTCTGTTTATAGACATAGGTTGTTGTTTGGACACCCAATTTTTTTGGTTTACAAGTGGAATGTCATGGCCTAGCAGTTAGGAGCACTGCACCGGACTCATGCTCTGGTGTTTCAGAGGCAGCAGAATGTGGGTTCGAGCCCGGGTCTGGACACTTGTGGCCTTAAAAGCAAGGCACTTAACCATTATTGCTTAGTCCTTCGGATGGGACGTAAAGCAGTAGGTCCTGTGTGTTGTGTTATGCAATGCATGTAAAAGAACCCAGTAACACTTATCACTGAAAGAAGGGGTTTGCCCCGGTGTTTCTGGCCTCCCTTGCGGAGTATTTAGGAGAAGAACCAACCAACTAACCAAGTACAAAATGTTTATTTAAGTTAGTTACATATGGTCAAATAGCACCTAATTTATGTCACTACACAAGTGTTGACAATGCATAACAACTGCATGCTGGTTAAAACTTCATTAATTTAGCCATAGTTCTGTTTAAACTTCGACATGCAAAAAATATAGAATGAGTAAACAAAAATTTCCTCAATACTAATGACAGATTATGACTCTATAGTTAAATTAAGTTGGTTTAAAACACAGGTGTAATTAGTTGACATTTTAGTTTTTGACAGAGTCCCTCTATAAAATATTAAAAGTCATTGTTTCTTACAGTTTACGATCTTTTCTTATTCGTTCCTTAATTCATTCAGGTTTAGATTACAGACATGTCAGATTGTGACTTCTCTGCAAAAATGTGTGTTTTGGAGTGGGAAAAAAAAATAGTTTTTGTGTTTACTTAGATTAAGCATGGAATGAGCTACCTCATTTCAACAGAGCGGTCACAGATATTAATAGTTCACATCATTGACTATTAAAGAAATGCATTACAAAGGCTACTAGGCGACAGGGGAAACCAGTGCAGCAAAACGTCTTCCCAGTGACCCTGCACACCTTAAGCAAGCAAGAATCCGGCTAGATAAACACTCACTTTTGTGTTTCAAGTAGTTGTCTCATTGTAATGACAAAAATGTTGATTCAAGGCTTGTCAGATATCCAGTTATGCGTATTGCTAGGCAATACTAGATACCAAGCACACAGGATGTGTTATTCCTGCCGCTATAAAATAGGTTGGAGAGAACGAAAACATGCAGTGGCATTTCTAAGAGCTCATTCAAGGCAATTTGGGGCCCCTTTAGTTTAAATTTAACCAACTGTTGTTGGTTGAGTGATATTTTTAGCAAGGAAATACAGAAGTACATGTACTAGCTAAACATTTATTACATTTTTTTTTAGTGCAGTGGCAATTATAAGAGCTCATTCAAGGCATTTGGGGCCCCTTTAGTTTCAATTTAGCCAACTGTTGTTGGTTGAGTGATATTTTTAGCAAGCAAATACATAGGTTCATATACTAGCAAAAAAACTATTACTATATTTTTTTTTAGTGCAGTGGCAATTCTAAGAGCTCATTCAAGGCATTTGGGGCCCCTTTAGTTTAAATTTAGCCAACTGTTGTTGGTTGAGTGATATTTTTAGCAAGGAAATACATAGGTTCATGTACTAGCTAAAAATCTATTACTACATTTAACAAAAAACATTTTTAGTGCAGTGGTAATTCTAAGAGCTCATTCAAGGCATTTGGGGCCCCGTTAGTTTAAATTTAGCCAAATGTTGTTGGCTGGGTGATTATTTGTTTCAGCAAGGGAATAAAGAGATACATATACTAGCTACGATACAAAATGCAAGTCTATTACTAATTATTTTTACATACACTGAAACATGGGATTTTCTCTTTTTAGTTGAAGTGCATGTAATAATGTCTTAAAGTCCCGTCACCAGCTTCAGTTAAAGTTGGTGCATTTTATTATTTCATTTTCATCTTTGTGCTTTCAACTTGCAGTGATTCTGCGTTGCAAATTTGATAACATCATATTTGGGTAATTTTTTCCCCAATTCTGCTGCATCTTTGATGAACAGTGTTTGATGTCAAAGACATTGTTTGTGATATAGAGATGGCAGTGCCTTGCAACTTCTAGCTACGCTGAGCAAACTCCTAAGTTTGTAAGATCGGGATTTGCAAAAGAAAAGAAATCAAATAAATATGCTCATTTTTTTGTAATCCAGTGTGTAATTCAATGGGGTTTCCTATTCGACAAGCTCTACTTTTTGTGATCAACATCCGCATGTATTTTGAAAAGAAAGAATGAAAGTAAAAGAATAAATTTCAGAATAAATTCCCACGGAACTTACATTCTCGTCTTTTTTTTGTCTGAGATATAGTTAAAAATAAAAGGATATGAATGAATAAATGACTGTACATCTAAACAGGTTTTTTTTTTTGCTTTTCCTCTTTGATAATTAATAACCACATCATGAAGTCGATTATGGGATCCTAAAAACCTAAAACGGTGTATAAATGCTAGCTAAACTTCTAAATATTTTAATCAATAAAAACTTGCCAAATACAGGAAGGAAAATGTAGCTCAATGGTTAGAAAGACGGAGAAAACAGTTTTTACATCAAAGACTCTACCTAACTTGGACGTGTGCTAAGATTGAAAACTGAAGGTTGTTTAAATATTAACATAGGGTGTGTGAAAAAAAAATCTTATTAAATTGGAGAATTCAGGGCTGTTAGGGTATTAATTCAGTCACAACAACTTTGTAATAAACTTGCATGCACATGCAGAACAGGAAAATAATACTGTAGTTTCTTTTTACTAAAGTCTTGTTGATAGTGATACAACATGCTTCATATGTTAACCAGTTAAACTTGTACTCATGCAAGAAACGTTCTCCAGATATGCAAACATGCAAAACGGGGGACCTACGCATTGTCATGAGTGTCATTAGCTTCCTCCGCCACCTCCGCGAGCGACGAGCGTGGCCGACGCCGGGACACGGCAAAGCGGGACTGCGCCCGCTGGCGATACATTGGTTTGCTGGCCACCACCTTAAGACACAAAACAGGACAGCCGAAGGAGGGAGGAAAAAAGAGGAGACAAACGAGATGTAGGGAGGTAGGTATAAATAAGGGGTCATTCACCAACGGTCAAATGTCAGAGGGTGGAGTTAATGACAAGTGTTTAAAAACCAGAAATTGCAGGACTTGAGAAGTTACGTGGAAGTGTGGCTATACACAAACCCATAGATCAGAAACCATCACCAAGGTTGCTGTGTGGGGAAAGAAGTTATGTGGAAAAACACACATGAACAGTCAACAAACGTGATTATAGATGAGTGAAAAGGGTGAGGTTGTTCATTTCTTTTTCCTTCACGATTGCGTGCTGCTTATGAGTTATGCTTGACTTGACAATTTTTGATAAGAGCAAGTACCGTTAGTGTAGCCACTTGAAAACTCACCATACAGTTTGTGTGTGCTTAAAACTTGTAAATCAATTAACTGCATTGTCAAATTGTACTGCATTGCTTAGCATATGTCACAATTGGCAAAATATTGCAAAGTTTTACACACCCCGTAAAACACAACGCATAGAATTGCAAATGCATATTCTTTGTAAACGAGGTATTTGTGAAAAACAATTTTATTTTTGTAGTCAAATTTTAATGGTATTCTGTAGTGTGTTTTATTGCTGAGTTGATTTTAATGAGGTGCTACAGTTGGATTTAGCTCACATGTATTTTGATTTTTTTTTTTTAAGTTTAAAAATATTGATTAGGAATTGCCTGTAATAAAAGATCCGATGGAGAAAAGTACAATATTATAGAACATTATGAGAAGATAAATGTGCTGTGATGATCACTAATCACAAAATAACATTCAGATACATTATTTTCATATCTTGGAATGAAGATAAATATAATCAAATGATTGTCAAATATGTAAAGTTAAAAGTTGGGAAGGTTGTAATATTGTACTCAGGAAAAAATGTTGTGAGGAAAAAATTGTTAAAAGAGATGTAAAACAATAGCCCATCTGCAGTGAATGCAGATCTCCAAAAGTCATTGTGAAACTAATTGGTTTAAAAAAAGGTGAAATGGACAAAATGGAATGGGAGTTGTGAATAAGAAAGTCAGAAAAAGTTTAAAATGTCATCACTCACGAATTGTATGATAATGGGAAGGGGTGTTGATAGGAGTCAAGGTCATTATTATGAGTTGTGATGGTCCTCTGGCCTTTTTTTATTGGTTAATTTCTTTTTAATTTGTTTTGAATGGACTTTGTTTTATTAGGTTAAAAAGGGAGGGCTGAAATGCTGACCACAATGAGTTGAATCGTGAATGTGAGTTGGTGCGTATGAGTTTTTTATCAGAGCAAATGCTGTACAATATTCACATATGTTAAACTCAAGGGTACTGTTGGCATCGTGATCATGTATTGTGCAATATTCCCTTGGTTCCCGGGTCAACTTTATTTTTGAATGATTTCGAATTGAATGATTTCTTAAGTATATAACGCTTGAGGCATTATCAAAAATGACCTTTTGCTGATGCTAATCCTTGCTAAAATAAACATTCAAATAGATAAAAATTCAAACAGATACAAATATTTGTACGTTTGCCTCTGAAGAAGACCTGGTTGAGATCGTAAGGTCAGGCTGTCTCAACTTTTTTGATTTGTACATTTCAGGTCAATCCAGTCAGAAAGCAGTTTGCAGCAGTCTTATTCATTTTTTTTAAAGATACAAATATAGTAAATTTAGTATTGCAGTGAGATTTTTGTATTGCATTGCAGTGAAGAGTGCTGCACTCGTACAGAAAGTATTATCTTAAATATAGACAAGGTTTAGACAAGTATTATGCAAATGTTAGTAAGGTTGGGAAGTATTTTTTAGTTGACCTCAAGTATGCCCATTATTTCCTTTTCTAGATCCGCCTCATTGTGGTACACGCTTTCCAACCGCCCGTTGGAGTTCAACGAGAGGCGCGAGCCCCCCGTTTTCTCCCCACCCCCCTGACTGTACGGAACAATCAATAAGTTGGTTTTGCTAACCGTTTCGGAGTCGGCGGGTCCGCCATTGGAGGCACCGTTGCTGGTGCCGGCGGCGGCGCTCTTGTCATAGACAAAAGTTTCCTCGTAATCGGCCAGAGGGTCAATATTGAAGAAAGTGGTTAACACATTGGGGAAACGAATGTCCATGATGAAGACAATGAAACCGCTGACTACAGCAACCAGACCTGTAAAAATTATAAAAAAAATTTTTTTTAAATATCATTGAAATAGGTTTTCCACCAAGTTTTCATAATTTATCTTACTGCAGTTTTTACCGAGTGGCCAACGTCTCTTATGGGCTCCGTGTGCACACTACAGAGGCCCCTTTTTTTACCACTTTTGAGAGCCTAGTGGACGAAAGACACCTCGTGCACATACTGACAGTTCACGCACCGATTGCAAAGTACGCACAACTTTTTTTATTCTGAATGTGCAAAAAGCCATTGCGTCTCTGCTTTAACACACGTCGTCAGCAATGGGTTCAATAGTCTCAGACCCAGTGGTCTCCCCCAACTCTCCCTTGATTACTTGTGCACGGAACCCACGTCCTCGCAACACTAAATTTGTCACTTGATGAACAGATGATGATGTAATCTATATTTTCTTACAGTTTTCTATAAGAATACAAAGACAATTTAAACCTATCCCTCACAAAAAAGTGACTTAATGTTTAAACTCTAACCATCTAAGATCCCTCAAAATCCAACGGGCACTTTTTGTTGCATTTTGCGACTTAAGAAAAGTTAAAACTACAATTGAAATGGACCCTCTTTCCCCTTAAATGTTAACGCAACAGCCAAAATGCCTGGGTGGTTAAAGGGTTAACTGAATTTAATCCATTGATAAAATCATCAGGTGATATCTGGCCTTTCAAAAGAGAAACTTGCTGTTCCTATAACGTACATCAATTATGTCACACATGAGATACTCTGCAAACCATCCCCAAGAAAAAAAATTAATCCTCTCACTAAAACCCATCCCCTCCTTTTTGTTAACTTTCTCTATCCTTTTAATACTAGTGACAGTATACTAACCAGCAACAAAGCACAGGTAGAACGTGGGACCGTAGCTGAAGGTGAGCACCTTCTCTTTACTGAACGGTATGATGAGATTGGTGCTGCCGAAGCGGACCGCTGCCCACATGATGTTGCCGAGCCACAAGAAACCGCCGGTCATCATCAGGAAGTAGCCGCAGTAGCGCAGCACCATGAAGCTCAGGGCCATCGACAGGATCCAGAGAGGGAAGGCCGTCCTGGGAGAAAAGAACGACGGTAAGAAAACAAAAAAGTTTTGCCAACGTCCAATTTCATTGAGCTGCTAACCACAGAAATTTGCTAAGCAGATACAAAATTTGCTGAGCAGAAGCAGGTTACCAGCCAAAATATCATGCTTTGTACATATTGCTCCTGACGGGTACTTGCTGATTTTTGCTTAGCACAAATTCACTTAACTATTATTGGGAGTGCGGCCTGGTGGTTAGGGTTCACGACTCATGATCAGCGGGTCAGGGGTTCGAATCCTGCTACTTGTACGTAGTGTCCTTGGGCAAGCCATTTCACCCAACTTGCCTCTCTCCACCCAGGAGTATGAATGGGTACTGGCATTAGCTGGGGAGTAACCTGCGATGGACTGGCATCCCATCCATGGGGAATAGAAATATCCTAGGTCGTCTAATGCCACAGAAACCGGAGATAAAGTCTGGCCCACTGGGCTATAATGGCTCATGACAGACTTTACTTTACAAAAATTTACTAATATATTTTCAGCTTAATAGCACCAGATATTGGGCTTTGGGCAAATTTATGCGCAAAAGCAGCTATATACATCACAAGGCTGGTAACCTTTGCATACTTAAAAAATGTTTTATGTGGTTAGCAAATTTCTGTGGAAAAAAATAACAAATTCTCAAATGGGAACAGCTTTGTTAGCTTTAGCCCCTTAACGTGCACAAACCAAAAAAATCCTGAAATATTTCTACTTTCTCCTCAAACACTCAAGCAAATCCCTCACTTTAACAATCTATGTTTAAAAATGCACATCCCCGACACAATGCCCTTTCTTTTCTTTTTTTCAGAAAGCCTCTCAAAATGTTCAAAACCTGTTTAAAATTGAGCAAAAAGAGATTTTAATTTGGCCTCATTCAAGTCCGAAACCTGGACCTACACCCCTACAAAAGTTTTCAAAAATTGGACCTAGTTTCAAATATGAACCTCTTTCCAAGATATCTGACAAACATCATAATCATGTCTCCAGCATGCTTATAATTTGAGATGACCCATTGCAAAGTGACAATTGTTCATAAGATGGAATTTGTATTGGAATAATGTAAAAGTAAATGTTGCGTTTTGCCCTCCATAAACACTGTTTACTCAGTATTGTTCAGCTACTTGAGTGGGACTCGAACCCATGACCTCCTGCTGGAGCAGACATCTTCATCAGGGCAAAATACGTTGGTGAAGGGCAAAACCCAACAAGCAAAATTGTAGAGAGTTGATTGAAAGTGTAACTTCCTTTTTTTTCTTACATTCAGGGCATCCGGATATGTGATCTTGATATTTTCTCAGACAAACTCACCAGACCATGATCCAGGTGTAGAAGCCAGCGGTTCGGTAGGTGCGACCCCAGCGAATGTCTTCCCCGTCCAGAGCAAAGTACTCAGCGATCCACAGGACAGGCAAGGGCTTGCCAGACCACTGGGCCTCACGGAACTCACGGTTGATTCGGCCAGCTGTTGTGAGTGAGTTTGCATTTGTATAACATGTGTCTAAGGTTCGTAAGGGATCAGTTGCTCTTTGTGCACTTTTTTTTGTTTAAAGTTACAAAATTGCTTAGCATCTTACTAAGGAGATTGCATAAAAGCTAAATGTTAGAGTTTTTAGTTTAATAAGTGGCTACTATACATTTTGAGAAAACGGACAAAGCATGCAGAATTGTGTGGTTCCTGCAACTGGATTCTGTTGATAACGCGCGTATAAAAAAGTTTGTCCGCAGGCACAAACCGCTTTCAATGATTGGTTTCTTCTTATTGTTAGATAAGGGACCACCCCTTTTTTCACTGCGACCAATCCTTTGAAATTAGTTCTTAGGGGAAAACCTTCACCTATAAAGCTGCCTGGCCAAAAAGTGTTGCCTTGTCATCTGAGAATTTTTGTTAAAATTAAAACAAAATCCTACTCTCAGAAATTCCCAGCAAATTCAATGATTCACCCCTTCAATAAAATGGATGGTGTTTTTGGTGTACCCTTCCCATTTTGCAACCTTTTGAAGGATTGAATTTGGCAAATCTGAATGATTTCTGTACCAAAAGAAAATGGGTACGAGTGTTCACACTTTAAACTCTTGAGTTCAGACTTAGAACAACATTAATTTTTCATCCTTACAGCTTTCTCAGCAATAAGCTTTGCAAAGGCTTTCAATCGCAACTTCCCAGGAAGATGCTGACAGTGATTGTTGTCAAAAAGATCAAAAACATTTCAATCAAGTCTCACAACTTTTTCCCATGCTGACATATGTCAAAATGAAGTGACCATTCATATAAAAAGTTTTTTAAAAACAAAAATTGCTGTGCCCAAATTATTTATCACTTCGCCAGAATTAGCATTTTTTTTTTTTTTTTTTACTTTTCAGAAATACACCCAAAAAAAGTCCTGAGGTGACAAGGAAATCAAGATTTCCAACACCAAATCCATTTGTAGAAGGTACATGTATGTATTACATTTATTGCTTTTTGTGTCTCATGTTTTGACTTTACATTTTGCAAAGATGTCTAAAACTCCATTTGAAGTAAAAAAAAAAGAGAGCTGTAAAAAGGGACTCACAAAAACGGCCAAATCCTCTCCGACCCTGACCACCCCAGAAGTTAAAGCGCTCGTTGTAATTGATTTTCTCATCTGGGTGTTCTTCAATGCTTCCATCCTTAGCTTCAAAAACAGAGTGAGATCCAACAAAATTCAAAATTATTCTTCAATTATTGGGAAAGGATTACAATTGAGACCGGGTGCATAAAGATTTCATTCAAAGTAAGCTAAGTCTTGACAAAATAATCCCAACGTGTAACAGCGCTAAAGATTTTGCTATTTCAGCACCTGTTTTACGTACATTCGGTGCTACATCATGCGAGGAGCGAGTGTTTTTTTAATACCTGTATGTAGGAACAGTGCCCCCTGGAGGCAGGTGCTGTCTGACCACTCCCCTCCCCCCTCCTTTTATAAAATTTTTGAACCAATGTTGACAAGAAATTGCTGCTGCTAAATGTGCCAACATGCAGAGCCATAGCCCAATTTTGCAACCCCCTTTAATTACAAGAAATTGTAATGTTTTTACATGTAAATTATCCCCCTCAGACTAAATACATCTAGAAAGAGTCCAACGGGCATTACAGTTAATCGGCCTTGAGCTAGAGTGCTTTGTGAACAGCGGCGTATAGCCAGTGTTCTCACAATAGGGGCAAGTGGGGGGGGGGGGGCTGGATGTTATAGTGGGGGGGGGGCAACCCAATTTCTGTTAAACCCATTAACAGGACAAACAAATTTCCAGTGGGGAGGGGGCGACAATTTTTTTATAGGGGGCGTACTTTACATAACTCTCAAGGACAAGGCATTGTCTTACCTTTGTTCCTATAATATAACACTCTCCCACAGACTAAGCACACACACTCACGATCGAGGACCATTTTCAACAAAAGATGAACTTTTGAGGACAACAAAGAATCTGTTGTTCTCCCTTTGTCTGTCTGTCCTTGAGGTATATATGTAAAGTACCTACACACCCCTTGGCTACGCGGTTGGTCGTAAACACAAATTTCACATCAACTACGAGTAGTTGTGCAACCGCAGTCATACAGGGTTGCACACCTCGAAACTTTTGAGACACAAAACCCTTTAAAACCCCTCTTTGTAAACGTATTCAATCCTATTCTTTCTTCCAACGCAATAACCTTTCCCTCAAGGTTTTCCTTTCTTTTGTCCTTTTGTAACGGACCAATACCCCGTGACAGGCATAGGGGCGAAAAGGCATTGTGAAAAAGTTCACTTGGCAACCTCATTAGACGGTGACCCCTGCCCAGGGCCGTAGTGAAGTAAACAAAATTTGATGCTCAGGGCTGGCGACGGGCCTGGTAAGAATGGTGCAAAGACACCAGACCATGCCGGAGCTGGGGGTTGCTAGCATAAGGCTTGCCCCGAATCACATAATATAGTAACAGTATCTTTAATGCGAAGTTAAAACGGGCAAAGCATTGGATTTAGTCAGCGTTCCAGATTTTATTCAAATTTAACTCGCAAATGGCTTACTGGTCCCTCTTTGGGTTTGAAAACCTATGTTTTGTCTCCAACTTTGGTTTCATCCCTGTTTTAAGAGAAGCCTTTTGTATCCAAATCAAATGAGAGTACTCAAAACTATGGCCTCATATTATTAAGGTTCAGTCGTGGAAAACCCTTAAAAACCTGAAAATTCAAGGCATCATGGAAAAGTCATGGAAAGTTGATATTTCAAGAAAAAAAAATCATAGAAAAAGTCACGGAATCCTGCACAACCCATACATATTGCTGCGTATGGGTATTTGGGTGTGGCAGTCTTCCAATTTGCATTTCAGTTTACTATACTTCCTCTTTATGTGCTCGATACTTGTTTCATATTCAAGGTATCGCTGTGATACATTTGTGGGACAAGGTGGCTTTGTGTCAAACTGGAAGGCTGAAAGGGAGCAATATCCCTTGTCTCCAGAGCAATAGGCTCCTAGATGCCAAAACAGCAAAGGATCTGGTCTTGGAAAGCCCTAGTTTTGTCCTGAAAGAGTCATGGAATTTCATGTGAAGATTTCTGTTGGAACCCTGTATCAATGAACCCCAACTCCCTAGCATCTTTTACTGGAACTGGACCAAGTCCATCAAAATCAATCACTGTGCGTCCAATACAAAACTGTACATGACATAATGGAATCCACCACTGATGCACTGGTTGACATTCATGGACTTGCTACACATGGCTTTAATCACAATAGCAGTACAGGAAGCTAGGCAAAATCAATCAGATACCCGTAGCACTGCTTCAGGCCATTAGGCCCAAGTCCGTCATACTCCGTCAATATTTAGGCACGCCAGGCCTTCTGGACAAAGTCCCCCGAAATCCACCAAAATGGGGGGTGCATTTTGATGGAGTTGGGATGGTTATGGTTAAAGATTTGATTTGCCTGAGGAAGAATATGAACCCACATTGAGCCAGAGTTCGTCAAAGTCAAGTGCATAAAATCCCCTCAAGTCAAAAGTGGGGACAAAAGTAAAGGTTTAAAAAAAAACCTTATGCCTATTCCTACACAAGTTTCTACAGAAAAGAACATGCAGGGGTTATAAATTACATTCTTTTTGTCATTTTTACTTTGAAAGAATGTGGCATCCAGACGCAACTTCTTTGATTGTGTACAAAGTCTATGGAGAGTCGAGTGACTCGAGTGCATTTGTTTAAGTATTTTTTAACAAATTTGGAAATGTTTCTCAGTCCCAGATTCATGTCTTATCAACATTTTTGCAATGACTGACCTTCATTGAGATCATATACGATGAAAAAAGTGGCGTCAGGATGTAAAATTCTTTCCTTTTACTTTTTATCATTCTAGAAATGATAAGGGGAAAAGATACCAAAGTAAATAGTAAAATTCTCGTTGTTCTCAAGTTGTTTTTTTATGTCGATCTCTGTTTTGCAACTGATTGTTTTGCTTAGAAAGAAGAATAAATCCAGTAAACAATTTTATTTAGTAAAAGACAAAATCTTCTTGATGAAAATGAACCACAATTCACATTAGTGATTGATTATTCTTCCGGGGTTTTTCCTCTCACCTCTAAAAATGAAAACGTAATTTCTTTGTTGTCTTCTCATTGTCTTCTTTGCCTTCAGGTCTGCGAGCTACATTGACATTGCCAGAACTAAATAATGATAATAATGACAGTTGCGTACCTTTTAGAGTGATGTTGACACTGTTGAGGCCAATTTTGACGCCAATGTCTGCGTGGATTTCACCCTTGTAGAAAGCCTTGTACGCCGTTTCTGTGTCAAGGATCTCCGCTCTCTCCCACTCTTGGCCCCAAGCCGATACTTCACAGACAAAAAAAGTAAGTACTTTTGGTTTTTTCTTACTCATATTGTTCCAGTGTTGTTACAAGTTGCTTGTGACTGAGTCGAGTCAAGTCGAGTCGAGTCATTCTTAGGCCGTGACTCGAGTTCAGTTGAGTCATTAAGTTAGGAAGGTCAAGTCAGTAAAGTTGCATTCTTAACCAGTTAACGCTTGAGGAAATGTAAGCACGATCTGGTAATGTATATTCGCATGGGCAGGTGATGGGTTAAATTGTCGAGCTTTCCCAGAGTCTCCGGCAGTGGACGTGTATACATGTCGGTGTTATGAACTTGAAATTGGCCGCTGTACACGGCCTGTCATCGCAGGAAATATCACTAGGCCTTGGGCGTCGCCAGGATTTTTTCTAGAGGGGGGCAAAAAAAAATTTGCCAAAAAATGCTTGTATTTCTCAACACATTCTCGATTTATCAGTTTTAGAGGGGGGCAGGGACATTTTGCCCCCCCCCCCCAACTCATTCAATTTACACCACTTCGTCTTCGCGCCTCTTTTTTTTTCTTTTCTTTTTCTTCCTTTTTTTTTTTTTTTTTTTTTTTGCTTTTCCAGGGGGGGGGGGGCAAGTGCCCCCCTTGCCCCCCCTCGCGACGCCCATGCACTAGGCCTTGGAGTGTTGAGTAATATGAAGTAACGGTGAGAAATATCATACAAATATTGTACACGTACAAATGGCTCTCAAGAGTCGGTACTTTTTAGTGTTTGAATTATTTTTAAAATTTGGCCGATACATCTTGTCTTTTTCAAAATGGTGTTTTTCGGCCAAAATTAATCCACAGCGGCAAGTGGTTAAATCCCCAAAAATCCACCACAGTGCAGAAACTAAATGACATAATATCTTTGCGCTTCTAACTTTCAAATAGCATTGGCGTTCATGCAGAGGCTTATACATGTATACATGCATATCATCTTAGTAGGCAGGGGAGGGATGTTTCAAAAGTCCCTGTTTTGTATTAACAAAAAATGTTGGATTTCACAGCCTTATTTTGACAAGGAAAGATGGTGTGATGGAAAAGAAATTGCTTTCATTTTATTCTTTGCTCTTAAAATAATTCAATTCAAGTTGGTGTTCATATGTGCTTTTTCAAAATTTTGATTTTCTTTCCCGAACGAAATTTTAAGTAATGTTAATGTCCTGTAACAAATAAATTTGCTTGTTGGCTGTTTCAGCAAGCATGCCAAAACAGCCTTTTATTTGGTAAAGATTTTTTTTTTCCTTTTTTTTTTTTTTCTTCAGTCATTTTTGCCCATAGCATTTGTAGACGATTCTGTTCCCGGCACTTTGGGCACTAAAATCAATCCAATTGCCTTTATACCTGCCACACACTTAGACCACCACCCACAGATGGGTGCCAATCATGGACTTCATCATGACATCATCACGAGTCACGTGACATCACATTAAAAGTGCATATTTTTAATGCCTATAACAACAGGTCCGATTGGGTTGAAAGTTGGTATGTGCCTATAGACCGGGATGTGTTATATATGAAAATAAATGATAATGTCATCATGGGTCATGTGATGTTACGATAAAGATTAATAGATTTAATCTTTGAAAATCAATATAAATCAATCATGAAAGACCTGAACTTGACAAAGTTGATAGAGTAATCCAGGATCTTCATTTTATTTCACATGTGTGCTAAATCATGACCCTTCCTTCCGGTCCAAACCAGAAGTGCCTTATAATTTAAAAGTGGAAACTTGCTTTCAACGATGTCAGTCTCTGGCTAGACTTAAAAAAAAAATTACCTGTGATGTCGTAAAATGTTAGAGCGCCCTCTAGCGGCAGGTCAAAAAATGTTGCACGTCACTTGTCACAAACAATTGCCGAAACAGCCCTGTGTTTGTCCACAAATATATATCTAGTTTGTTTTTGCAGGCCTGTATACAGTTTTAAACAGTGCTTTTTAAATGGTGCACTCCAGTTCAGAAATTGCACACACTATTCAGTCGAATTAGGAGCATCCCGCTCTGAATTGAAAAGTTGAAATTATTGATAACTTGTCGTGGGCCGATTTTTTGTGCGATGTGTCATTGGAAAAATCATAACTTAATGTTATGATAGATATTTACTATGAAATAAATAATTAATTATAATCAAATATGATATGAAAATCTATACTTGAAGGAGCCACACCCACAAAGCATATATACACCAATTTTAGCCATAACCTTCCCAAATCCTTCAAAATCCTCTTTACAAAATGGAGGATTTAGCAGGATTGAGGCTATGGAAAAATGTGTGGCTGATTTTGGAGGATGCACTGTGTCAAGGTCTTAGTCGGGCGTGGACCTTGTGTTGTTTATGCTCAGCCGTGCATAAATTTAGGCCCTAAGATGATACTTAAAATACTCCGCACTGCTCCAGTATGTCACTGGCTCTGCCTCAACATATTGACAGTGATTGCCGGAGGAGTTTGCAGGATTGAGGCAGTGGTCACCCCTCCAAGGACCACATTCAAGAAATAACAGATGATTTTGCAGGATTGAGGCTGGATGCTAATTATACATGGAGGCAGTTGGAGGATTTTGCAGGATTGAGGATGCATCCTAGCAAAATGCCTAGGGAGTTAGGGCTAAGGGAACAGTTGTAAAACTTCAAATGCAGTATGAATAAGAATCAGAAATCAATCTGAGAAATTCAATATCCTTAAAAAAATGAGGTTTGTAATAACAGTCGAGAATTATCTGATGATATCAGATCTTTTAATTTCCCCCTTGTTTCTCTATTGCTTTTATTTCCTTCCACTTTTTAGTACTTTTTCCTAGGGTTCATCAGATTTTGCAATAAATCTGGTCCATAAAAAAAAACAGATTTTATCTTAAGCAAACTTTCATTGAGATCCTTGTTCCGGCTTACATAGTCTGCAGTGTTTGCTTAAACAGAGCCAGAAAAATCATGTTTATAAACCTATGTAAACAACTAACCTTCTCTCACGGGGAATGAAGTGAAACATGCTTCACTAGCTTTTTGTATATATTGATATACATGTGCACATACATGAAGATATTTATCGTGTTCTTTTGGAAATCATGGAGTGTGGTGTTGTGGAGAGAAAACATTTGTAAAAGTTATTTCACCCTATTCAATTAAGTGAAATGTCAAAATTGAAATCATTTAATATGGTTTGTCAGATGACTAACCCTATAAAATAGTTCCACACCCCTTTTTATTAAAAAAAATAATAATAATAATTTTAAAAAGTATGTTTCCCTCTTCAATACTTGGTGCATATAAGCAAATGACATTTTCTTGAACAATATAAAGCTAAAATGCTGCTAAATCCAAACATCCAACATTTTGATATTTGTTGTTGGGTTTTGTTGGATTTTGCAGGGTGATCAAAGAAACTCAAAGGTATTTGGGTTGATAAGTTAAATAAACATAGAAATATGACTTACACAATATTCCAGCTCCTATGAACATTGCCACCACAAATCGTATCAGGGTGAACCATCTCTGTAAAAAAAAAAACAGAAACAGTTTACAAACTACGTACTACTCTAGTTTTTATCTCCACAGTTTCACTTGTTAAGTCAATTTGAATTAGAAGGGTATAACGTATAAAAGTGTGGGAAAGATTCCCATATCTGGCCATCACCAATTTTTCCCTTCAGTAACCTATCAGCCATCAGAAAGTGATAATAGGCCTGTGCCCTAAAAATTAAACAGGGAAAATATTGAAGTATTTACGGAGAAAACACAATTTTCAGACAAGTCTCTTAGGGTTTGTGCACAGGGTGACATATGATGGCCAGATATGGGAATCTTTCCAACACGGAAATAACTAAGTAAAAGAAATTGGAAATTACAACCCTCCCCCATGCCCCTTTTGCCCCGCCCACTTGTACAGACAGTGAAAATAATAGCAAGACGATTGCAAATTTCAGTGGCAGGCCATAGGCCGCCAAAAGGAAAAATCAGGCAGGAACAAATAAAATATGCCAGCTACCCCCCCCCCCCCAACAAATCTGGATCCGCCCCTGAATTTGCATAGGAAAACCCAATTTCAACCTTTTTAAATTAATTCTACCTCCATGCATGAACACAATTAAATCAAAGTTCGGCCAAAATTTTAGAAAGGCAAACATTTATTTTTTTTGGGTGGGGGGGGGTGATAAATGAGGAACAAGGCAGCATGGATTGCACAAGCCACTTTGTTTTATTTACATAGTTGTCATCATTTGTCCAAACAAAATTGGAAATGTTTACAATTTTTAAGTATTTAATTAATGTTTTTTTACTTTGTGCTTTTGTGAAAGACTTATAACACGCACTCCAGCCTTTCATTGTCAATCTCTCCCCTGCCCCACTTTATTTTTACAATTAGCCCCGCCCATTACATTTTTTTGTTTGCTTTTCAATTTGTTCAAAATTGGGTGACAAATAACTCACCTGTTTACCCCGAATTCCCGGCAGAATGATGAGAAAGGAAAAGGCGATAATGAGGAAGGCGAAGACGAATCCCATCTCCGTCACATCCGCCGTAACCGCCGTCTTGTTGGACGCATATTGGGTCGGGGTCCCCTTCACTCGCAAAGCACTGTACGGGATCCCCATCTTGGCTGCGAGATTGGAGTTTCAGTCAAATGTGGAAAGTAAAAAGTTCTGTTGGACTTCCCTCCACTTTCCAGCACTGATTCCTTCGAAACCCGGTCTCTGTCTCGAGTTTCGATGTCTCCTTAACTTCAGAAGAAGAGAGATTTTGGTCCCAAAGGCGGGCAAACAAATCGCCACCAAGGAGAAACGGTACAATCTTGATTACCTTCTTCTTCAAGCGACACTACTTTTCGATACCTCGCCAAAACAAAAATCAGCACAGGGTTTCCGCGTTACGAATCCACTGACCCGTCTACAGAGAGTCGAGGAGTGGAAAAAAACTTTTGTCCCGGGTTTAATCGAACTCATTACATATGCAAGAGTGGATCCTTTCTGCAGGGAAATTTACATATACGTACGTGTTGGGTATTGAATTTAGGAAGTGGATGAATACTGGGCAACCGGGTTTTCGTTAACAATAGGCAGTGTTTGCGTAAGTCCCCGTGAGGTATGGTATGGTGACAGGGCCATTCAGGAATTACGTCAGCATTTTTTCCCATTCTTCATCCTGCGTGCCAGTACTCTATATGGGTATACAGGTTGGCGCAGAGTTGTCTTGCGGGCGTGGCTTTGGGGGAACATGATCGTCACGGCGGAGTGATATTACCGTTGAGGCCGCTGTGATTGGGGAAAGTGATGAACCCTGAAAACGTCAAGATAGACGTCGAGGGGTGTGATTCTCACTAAGCCACTTCCCGTGTTGTTTTGCAACACTGTAATCCGAGAATTTGTTTCTTACGAAGCTAACTCCAAAACTGCCATATCAGACGGAAGATTGTGAACAAGCAAAAAATCTTATCGATCACGATCATGCGTGGCATAAATCTGTGAACAGAGTTTACGATAATATCCCGAATGAATCGAACTTTTAATCTTTAGAAAAACCTTGTCAGAGAATATCGATTTTCCACAGTAAATCATGATGACATTTGAAAACAGTTATTGTGCTCACAACAGCAGAAATGTGCACATAGCTTTTTAACTGGTTTTATCCAATTTCAATGACTGTGCGTACTTAGTTCTGTAGGCTATACCTTAGACAAACAAAATAATGGCCGAAGGTTTTGGGGTGCGAAACATAAGTTAAATCAGTGCCGAACGTGTTTGAAAATGAAACATAACCAGTTTTATTTGTATGATTTTGCTCTGCCTCTTACTCAGTGACAAATGCAATGACATCTCGGTTTCTACGCCACGCTAGAATCTCCAGGTTTATTTCGGTCACATCTGTTGATCTAAGGATTCGTCTGTGAATTATGAAAAGCAAGAAACGATGAACTTCAGGGAAAGAACGTTTAACTTTCTTTTCCCGTTGGAAACGCAAACTACGATTACAATAAAATTGAAACCTCGGTGTTGATTTTAAACGGTCCAGTTTGTTGCATAAAGTGAATGCTTGAGCCAAAGCGAGAACAAGATCATCGGGAATTCTGGAAGTGATGTCCAGACGGGTTTTACCCCTCAGCCGCGAGGCTGGAGGGGTATATTGTCATCGCATCGTCCGGCCGGGCAGCTTAGTTTCCGGATGATGACTTGAGTTAGAAATGTTGTTTGGGATTGTAGCTTCGGTAGGGGCCTGCCCATTATTTAGTACCCAAATAGATTCGTCTCTCTCTAATGAAAATTTAAATCTTACTAACGGGCCCTTTTCAGAGTGTGAGAAGAGTACAAAGTGCATTCCGTGGTGCACCATATTCGCAAGTTTTCGTATTGATATTGTGGTAATAATACATTTTGTTTTTAGAATGACAATAACCATAAAGTAAAAAAAAAAAGGTCTAATTTGGTCCAGCTTTGGTATGCACGTGACGGTGTCATTTTAATAATGGTGGTATCAGTGTTACAATTTACCACCGGTGGTCTTAAATATAACAAACAGTGTTAAATATAACATTTGTTTTTGCAGTGTAGTATCGCATGCTTTGTAATATCCAGGGAGTTCCCAATCAATTTCGTAATGATACCTGGGACGCCCCGGACCCGCACCGGCATGTTTTGAGTCACGTAGGCCCTTATCACGTCACGGGACCAAGCTGTTTGCATTATACGTGAATCAGGGTCAGCGATTACTTGGAATACGGCCTGGAATAATCTTGTTCACAGCCCAAACTGCAAGGTTCAGTGAGCCAAGCCGCCGCTGCCCCACCCAAGGGCGGATCCAGAACACAATTTTTTGGGGGGCCAAAAAAAAATTTGGTCCCCAAAAAAGTGGGTCAAAAAAATACGGCGTGGGGTTCGGGGCCCGCTTAAGGGCCCCGAAAATTTTTTGGATTCTAGATGCTCTGTGGTGCAATCTGAGGCAATTTCTGACCACTTTAACCAATGTTTTTAGCCTGCCTTTATTGCGATGTCACATAAAAAAAAAAAAAAAAATTGGGTTTTTTTGGGGGGGGGGGGCCATGGCCCCCTTTGGCCCCCCCTGGATCCGCCCTTGGCCCCACCCATATTTTTTTTTTTTTCGATTTCATGAATGTTACATGCACAGATAATTATATCAGACGTTCACTAAGTGTGGCTCTGCATAGGTGAACGTCTGATCACCATGCTCAGACTTACTCTCTACCTAATAGACCTTTATCATGCTGCCACCATTTTGGTCATGTTCCCTGCATCCAATAAAAGTATTGAATGATAATGGTTTTGTGCAAAAAAAGGAACCAGACTATTTTCCCTTCCAGCCTCGTTTTATAATATATCAGTATATAGGCCTTTTCACACTTCGAAAAATCTCCGTGTTGTACACGGGTCTGACACGTGTAAAATGGACTAACCTTTTCACACTACAACATTTGAACACGGCACTGACCCAGGCGCGAGCGCTCGACCCGTGTCGAAATTAAGAAGGTGGGTTGAGAATTCTCGATCAAGCGGCGCTATAGGATCTTCGCTTTGTAGCGTGCAACGAACATACCAAGGAGCTACATAGCTCATGAACATACAAATAACCTTTGACGTGCTGCCCTGTCGCGCCACCACTGGTGTGATATGAAAATCGGACTCTTATGAAAATCTTACTCCTTTTCCCTTTAATTGGTTAAACTCTCTCACGTGACCGGGCCCTCTCTAATTATCTATGCATGAGCATGCGCAATACCTTAATGAGTCTGTATTTCATAACACCTAAATTCACACCACACCTAGCACTGCCGACCGCGCTTGCTTTTTCGTAAGCACTAGAAAGTAAAAGCAGCCGGCCACGCTTGGTTTTTCGTGCGTTCTTTGCATATACTTTCGATGGTGCTAGAAGTTCAAGTCACAGAATATTTTATCCTCCGACGCAAATTGGGCCCGAAATCAGAAAAAAAGACTGACATGAAAGACGAGTCCGTGGTTGGAGCTACAAAACACGTGTAGGGCGGACGGCCGTGTGTGTAGTGTGAAACGATCGCGCAATACACGGGTCGAAACATTACACGAAATTGAACCGTGTTGAAATTTTTAGAAGTCGACACGGGTTGGAACCGTGTAGATTTCGACACGGATCGGACGTTCATAGTGTGAAAAGGTATGTATATAAATATACTGACTCAAGCCCGTGGGGGGGGGGGGGTTCGGGAGGGGGTTCGAACGAGCTATTATCTATCCATAAAGTGTCAATCTGCTGCAAATTTGCCTGAGTTACGCCGCCATGTTTTTTTCCTTATATAGCTTTGATTTTCAAGATGGTGTACCCTGATAAAGGTCTATAAATCCCATGATCAATTTATTTTCAGCTGCCATCCTACCTTTCCCCTTTTAGTCAAGTTTAATTTATATCAAATTATTCAAAAGAGTGTATAGTTTTGAAACTAAACTGTCATATCGCCCCAAATTATATTTCAAGGTGGAGTAGACCATTGGTATACCCAAAAAAACAACATCCGACCAAATTATTGTTAAAAAGCTTACTTGGTTTATTTGAAGATACTATGACACCCTTTGAAATATTCTTTCTGCCGTCATTTTGAAGAAAACAATCAAAGAAGGCACTTCCAAAGATGTGTCAAGTGACACATTTTGGAAATTTCCGTTGACAGTTGGTTTGTAAGTGGGCGAATCCCCCGGATGGATGGGGGTATACATCCCCCTCCCTCACAACACACACACTTTGTGACCAAAGGGGTTCGGCTATTGGATCATCCCCCTTTTTTTATGGTGAGAAACCAAAAAAAAAGGCGGATTTTGACTGTATTTTCGAACTTCCTATAACAACCATATTTCTGGAAATAGACAGCATTCACAGAGCGAACGCTTCATCAGGTTAGTTGTTACACACAATCGTCTTTAGATTTTGAGCACTTTAGGTTTGTTGCTTCAAACGAAAAAAAAACATGCACCAGTGACCAGTGGTCTATACCCTACCTTTAAGTCCAGACCAGTAAATAGTACTGCCATAGACCTGAGTGGTATAATTACGCGCACTTCCCAAAGTTATTTTAAAATACAACTCTCTGAGGTGTTCAATTAAGACACGCATCAAATTAAAGCTTATTTCATCATCTTTCATTTTATTTTCAATTTTTGGGGGTTAATCTCATGACTTTTGAGAGAAATAATTATCCGAAGATGATCACCCCTACAAATTGTCCTGAAGCCCATCGCCATTTTGAAAAACGATGCCTATACGCTCCGTTGCAGAATAGAGTGCTTTTAGGGCCATTTTGAAAAACGATGCATATACGCTCCGTTGCAAAATAGAGTGATTTTAGGGCCCAATTTCATCCAAATTTCACTGAAATACAAGCTCACAGTCATGACTTGTGCACGGTTTCCACCCTTCTTTTCTACAAACCCTCAAGTTTATGGCCCACAAAATGCTCTTATACCGAAGGGTTTGAGGGCATGCACATCGTGATTTGACCGGCGTACTGAGGCAATTTCGAACCGATGTACCGGTCTGCACCCTTTAACATCGTGCCAGGAAATCACTTTTAAACTTCCTTCTTCTGCCATATGCACGTTCTTGATTACGTGGAACTCAATCTTAAATCGCAGTGTCACTAGTGGCCTGCAAAAGATTAAAACAAAATAATGACTTGCGTGTTTTTTCTTTCGTTTTTTTTTCACCTTTAAACATGAAAACTGAAAACTATTGGTTACACTGTATAGGTCTGCAAAGCGCTAACACAACACGGAAATACAAGTTCGTTTTTTGCGCGTTTGTTTGTTTAGGCTTGTAAACTTGAGCGTGCTAACTCAAATAAAGTGTGCAGCATATATATTGGCAAACTTTGAACCGAATTCCATCATAGCGTATTTGCCTGCAGTAAAGCTAATGTGGTATAAAGCTGGAATCATATGCACATGCGCAGTTGGCCTCTCTTATCTTTTTCTTCTTTTCTTCTGTTTTGTTTCTGTTTTGTTTTGGCCTTTTATCCACATGTTAACATAATACCATATAGGCCTAGGCC